GCCCAGTTTTTATGCGTTTTTGATGTACAGCGTTATAGCGTTGCTACAGCTAGCAAAAAAAGCATACTGTCGAGAGGTTGTCTGTGTATGTGTTCAGAAGCGATTGAATTTTTTCACTCAGTTTCATCTCAGCAAACAGGGAAGCTGGGAGGCTGAAATTTTGGGTATATGTTCCTACTCCGTGTGTCACCCTCCTGCTTTAAGATCTTCCCCCCACGCGCGTCTGAACCCTGCGTACGGACCCCCGAAAAAAGATATGCAAATTTGTTTGGCGGGAAACAATTTCGCCAGCCAGTCAAGTTACATAGCTGAAACTTAACACGAATATTCTCTGTGCTTGTGCGAGCTAAAGATTTCGAACTCAGCTTTTGCGCACGTTTTGCAGCGCGTATGATTACATCAAAGTTTGCAACTTGTTACTGTGCTAATTCGAAAACCTGCCGGAAAACAGTGGCAGAAATGTTTATCGCCCGTGTGGGAAATCGTATACCTAAAATGAGTACTGATTTGCACTTGCACCACGACTCGGGACACTTCAATGATATTTGAAGCGAAGTGGATATTTCGTTTTCTGGATAAGCTGTTGAGGCTGGAAATTCTCTGGGATATTCTAATTTCAAGTGTGGTCTTAATTCTGCTTGGAGGTGAAATTCCCTGCAGGTGGGCATGAAAAATACTCAACTTTACCAAAAAATTAGAAACAAGTGCGTTTTGCAACGAACGATCGCCCTCATCCAAATATGCAAATCACGGATGGGCAACCGGTAGCCCGCGGGCCGAGTCCGGCCCGCGGAGAGAATCAGGGTGTGATGCCTAAGTGGACGAACGGGGTTTGTATTCCGCCACGCCTCTGCACTCTCATGAAAATTTTTTAAACTAAAATACACAGGAGACCATCAGGTGACAATATGGAAAATATTTAGAGACTTTGTATCAGTAATATAAACCCAGATTACAACAATCTTTTGTCAAAAGTTGAAGCTCAGAGCGCACATTAACCCGCTATTGCTTTTTTTTTTTTTACTAAATGAACAAAATGATAAAAAATTATCAGTTTTTACGCGTCTTTGCATCTTCTGCAAATGCAAAATTCATAATCTCGAGAGCATGTCTGTGCAACGTCCTTTTCCCCGCATGAAAGAAGAGACCAAAGCACAGGCACATGAACTGCATGCGTTACACTGTAGAGCAACAACCATGCTGTTAGCAATTTGGCTGTGTCAAATTTAGCGCAAAAACGCATGAACGCACGAGCAAGCCTAGTGCGTTACTACCCAGGTTTTATTAAAAGGTGACCCGCGAGCTTCAGTAAGTATGTAAATCAGGCCCGCATATTGCCAAAGGTTGCCCATGCCTGATGTAAATGAACGTTCCGTTCATTTGCGTACTTTGATTTTTAACAAACGATCGCTCAAGCAGCACTTCCACTTTTTGGAGAACTGAAATTTCGCATTTTTTTTTTTCAAAAAACTTGCATTTTTCTTTTTTTCAAAAAGCGAACATTTACGGAAAAAGGACCAATCTTCATGCAAAAAACTGGTAATCATGTACCTGGAGGACCGTGCGGCTCTATAATGCACCACCTTTATCCCACCCGGCGCCCTTTCTCTGGAAGGGGCCAAAGCACGGCCAATATGAGTCCAAGTGTTAGCGTACAGCGCAGGAATCATTCCGCTATTAGCAGTCTGCGAGTGTAGTGCAAAAACGCATGGTCGCACCGGCAGGCCTGGTGCATTTCTACCTGTGTTGTTTTTGGCTGAATTTTGTGCCCCCGCTGGCTTGATTTTGCATTTATTTGCTCATTTCCTTGCATTTTTTGCGCTGGCTCCAGGCACCGCCATGGAGTCCTCCGCCTTATCTGGTTGTGTCACTCACTGTATATGTGCATTTTGATTTTGAAATCTCTGTTAGCTTGCAACTGGACTAGCAGAATGATGCCTTTTTCGC